CCAACTATTCCGCTCTGAAATCCGAAACCTTTTGAAGACTTCAAATTTAATTAATTATAGTTACAAAATAAATTTCATGAAAACTTTAAATACCGTCGTAATAATTATAGAATATTCAAATATTTCATTAAGTTAATTATTCAATTACTGCATAAAGGTAAACGAGATATTTGCTAAAATGTAAAGTTATTACATTTGAGGCTTAAAAAGTAATTAATTAATGTTTGGAAGTGAATTTCATGAAAACTATAAATACCATAATATAGAATAGTGCACACATTATTAAGGTTTAATATGCTTTGGAGGAAGCTTAATGGATTAACGTGATAATCGCTAAATTATAAAGGTGTTGGTCGTTAAGGTTTTTATAATCCATTAAATAAAGTTTCAAAGTGAATTTTTTTATGAATATTAATAGGAATAATGTTAATTATAATATTTATAAAAAATCAAAAAAAAAATAACATAAAATTTCTGTAATATTATAAATATTTTTATATCAATTACAAAAAAAACAGTATTTTTTCCGTGTTAATCATATATTTGAAAATAATTTTAAAAAAATTCTTAGTAACAAAAATAATTTTAAATGTAGACGTTATCAAAATTTATATTCTATTCTTATTTCCTAATGCTTAAGACTAATAAGTAAGACTAACTAAAATCTAGCTTTAGTATACATGTGCTAAAAAAATAAAAAAACTTTTTGCCTAATAATTATTGTAGTGTCTCAATCTGGTGGCCTGTGGGCCAAATCTGACCCTCATAGCAATTTTAGACGGCCCTCGAATACATTTCAATTAAGTATTTTTTCTGAACACAGTACTTATAGATTTTTAATGGGCTTATGTCCAAGGCAGCTGTTGAAAGATAAAGTTGATAGAAAGAATAGGCTTGGTATGCTGACTGTATTTTCACTCTTATTTGTTAAAAATAATCCGGATTTTCTTTTGAGGTTGAGATCATTGCAATACGTTATATGAAACATAACGGATAGTTGCCTAATTTGGACCGGCGTTTAGTTTGCACCACTATTATATACAATCCATATATCTGCATTATGTTTTAAGTAATAAAACAGTATTGGACATAAAGTTGACAAAATTTATGATTATACATAGAACAAAATTGTGTATCTAATAGGATAGTTAAAAAATAGTATTAGTTGAAATATTTAGAAATAATTATCAAATTGCCTAAGAAGCAGTTCTTATAAATCAGAGACAAATAGTAAGGAAGAAGAATCTTTAATTATTTAATTAATGATGTTTGTCTTTTTTTGCTTATTTTTTCAAGTACAAATGCAAACACTGCATGCTTTAGTATTTTGTGTGAAAAAACGCTAATGTAGGAAATATGATGTGTAGAGACCAATAAATCTTATTGATGAATATTCTCAGTCTCAGTATCCATCCACTTAATTTTTGTATTAACTATTAAAAATAGTGGTTCAAATTCGGTAACTACTTTCCAAATAAAAAACAAAATGATCAATTTCAATAATAAATTTTAGTATTCCAATAACAGTTGGTAAACCTGATTTATATTTATGTCTCTTGTTCCACCTTAATTAAATGACGCTACAATGTATTCATTAAAATATGAATCAAAGTTAAAATATTTTTATAAAGAATATATGTAAATAATATTATTTCAAATCATTATATTTTGTTATATAAAGCACATAAAAAATAGAATCCTTTGATCTCTCGTCCGCTGCGTGTTTATTTGTGTTTTGTCGCGCGTTATGTAACGAATTGCAAATTTCTTTGTGCCATTGTGTCGGAGCGAGAATTGATGAAAGAGAAAAAGATGAAAAAATAAAAAATGAGAACACTGGGAGTGGGTGGTTGGTCGAAATGTAACGTTTGGCGTTGACAGAGTGTGTCAATCAACGGACCGTTCCTAGACACGTACCAACATATGTTGGATAACGCCGCCCCCGGTCTCTCAGACCTCCCGATGACTTTCATGTCGTCGCCATGCAGAGTAATTATAACTTGACCGGCGGCAAATTAACACGTATTCCCGTTACAACCAAATCAAACTTCACTTTGTGCACTAAGCTCATGCACCCAACGACCTGTGTACCACTCATATAGCGTTTACTTTGTGCGACACCCGTCCCTCGTGTGTCCCGACAAATAAACGCTTTTGTAAACAAGTCGACAGAGAAAAGAAACAGAAACAAAACTAAACCAAACAAAAGTCACACTAAATTTATTAAACTTTACAATCCCCCAACAAACACTTACGATGTTAATTTTTAATTACTCAAAAAGTTCCGAACTAATCACATATTGTTTTTCACTACTCATATTGCAATATTTCGAAATAATATAGTTGTAATTAGTTGATAAGATAATTTTCATTAATTCACTATTTTTTTTAGTTTAACACTTGTAATTTTTGTATTTTTATATAATTGTTGTTTTTATTATTTAATTATTTTTAATTATTTTACACTTGATTCATATAATTTTTTTTTTAATTTTTAATTCAGATATTAAAATAACATTTTTATAATCAAGTCGTTAATAAATAATAGTTTAATATTGATGTAAATACTATTTATTTTACAAAAAATAATTTTATAACTCTTTAAATTCTATTAGAAAAAAATCTAGTAAAATTTAAATTCATAAATGTCATCTTATAAATAAATATTGACTATAATTAACTAACAGTTGCAATGAACATATAATGGCATAATTTTATTTATTTTTAAAATAGAATACCGGACAAATCGAGTTATGATTTAATGCGTTTTAGTACTATGCGTTAAAACAACTTTATTATATAAATCAGTTTGTAAAAGCATTATCCTACAGTAACAAAACAAAATTATATAACAATATTTACCAATATTATTATTACAACAACATTAATTGCATCTATAGACTTTGTTCACTATATTTATTTTATATGATATATTGAACTATTATATCAAGTTGGGACTAAAAATAAATCATATAAGAATGTTTAAAAAAAATGTCGCACTAATCGATTTATTGTTAAATTTGATTTTATATATTGAATTAAATGTATTATATGCATCAGTTTATAGAATTATTACCTAATAACATCACCATTGTTGAACTACAATTTACAATCTAATATAATAATTAAAATATAAGCATACTGAAAAATATTAAGTCTAGAATTAAACACATACATTTTTAAAGTCATATTTGTTAAAAATATTACCTTACCAATCGAGTTATTATCAAATTCTTATTGATACATTATTTTCTAACATGGCGATTACGTATATACTATCTACTAACATAACAACAACTTATTTATTTTAACTACTGTTTTGGAAGAAGGACCATATTTCGCGGGTGAATAAAAGAAAAATCGTTTTGGTTTCAAGGTTGGCGTTTATTAACTACTTCTTCCATATCGCCTAAACTTCTACTTAAACTATTCTACTCGATGGTAACTTAATACTCTTCCAATATTGCTTAACTCCTCCGAGCCAAGCGTTACTAGCCAACTTCATTTTCACAACCACTGTTGTGCTCAAACAATTACAGTTTATATATTCTTAACTTTCTAACGTAATTATGTTCATATGTAAAATTAGGACATAAAATATAAAAAAAATAATGAAAAATTCACTTAAATTCATAAATGACAACTATATAATCTTAAGAAATATATATTATATTCAATTTATTAACAGTGATAAGTAAATACACCACTACCTCGTTTAGTCCCTGAAATCGGTTACGCTAACATCTCGGACTGTTTGATACTGGATTAATGAAGAAATTAAATATTTACAAAAATAAAGTGTCTTGACTGTAATTATACTGTAAAAATACGGTAATATTTAACCCCTAACGCGGTAAGATGCATTGTATAAAGTTGCTTCCCAAGTGGCTACATATTTTTGTCGATATACATGATGCGAATATATTCGTCATAAGTGCTATGCAATACAAAACACCATGACGAATATATACGACATAACCACTTAAGGGATTAAATAAAAAATGTGTAATAAGTTTTTCGAATTTATTTTTTATTTTGTTCTAATAAAATCAGATTGTTATGAAATTTTCAAACCGGACTATAGAGAATCTAAACTGAACAAATTCGGATTATGCGAGGTATTGCTGTATAGTAATATTAATTTACAAGATCCAAAAGGTGTTTTTCTCAAAACATCAATCTTTGCCAACTTTTCTCACACATTGTGAAACCCTGACATAATTTTATATTATAAAAAACATATCTTGTAGTCATTGTAAATAGCCGAAGGGCATCAAATTTTTTATATAATAAAGAAAAATCTAAAAATCAATCAAAATCAATTTATATAATTTGGTACACTTAGAAGAACAGTTACGTAATGGTATGAGAATTTGCGATAATAAAAGGGTGACAACTACACATATATTCATGGAATTATAGTTGGTAAATTGCATGGGTGGGCACGCATGAGGGTAGAGAGAGCCTCATTCCGCTTTTTCATGTATAATGGAGCCACTTCAATACATATTATTTTATATTATAAATACAAATACCATAGTTACATAGATTTTCAATGGGAGTTGCAAGCATCTCTAAGAGCCGCATTTGGTATATCGGGTAGATTTATGATCAATGTTATGCATGCATTATAAGAAAATGCAGTGTGTGCCAATGATAAGAGCCTAAAGCTATTGAATTTCATCCACTGTTCGAATTAAATTTTATCCGAATGAATTCTTTTTTTTTTCGTATCCTCCGCTTTCGGAACTCGCCTCCGTTTTTTATTTTTATTGTTTCGTGTTCAAAGCAGCGAAAACCTACCGATAAGAATTCCATCGGAATTGCAAAGAGACATAGCAACTCATTTCCTAAACCCAAAAAAAAATCACATCCCTCTTCCATTTGGAAACCTCGTATGTGTCGTCATTTCATGCATCATTTTCAATTTGCTTCAGATAAATATTTTCATGTCGTATGTGATGTTTTCCTACCGAATTAAGGGTTGTTTTCTTTTGCAGAGAGGTCAGGGCGATGGGGGTTACTCGGGGCCGATACGCGGCTCCGGCCGACAGAGGGTAAGTTTATTTATCCGACAAATTGGATTTATTCAAATTCATCATGATTTTCGAAATCCTTGTACGCTTTCATTATTATCGGCTCTTCGTGTTGTTATTAATATTTACTGAAGTGCGGCGTTGTGTCTGTCTGCATAAAGCAACGTAATATTTCCGTATGAAATTAGTTTTCCGCAGGGGCTCCGTGTGAGTAATGGCATAAATATACACTTGTGTGGAGCTCCAAAGCGGCGCTAATAAATTCCGTGCAAATTTTCATTTTTCACTGAGCTGGCGCCCCCCTCACGCCTCTCTAGGCGCGCACCTAACAAATTGTTTAATTTACTCTAACAAATTGGTATTAATTTCTGTTTAACGTGGATACTTAATGCGCTTTTCCTTCTTCTCTCTTTACTGCTATAATAAATATGCAGAGAGAAAACAGCACTAGGCATAAATAAAATTATGCATTAAAGTATCATTAATAAAATTAAGTTAATAGGCTCGAATATATGAAGCCGAAACTTAAATTATTCAAAAAATACTTCAAGCAATTCATTTACTCAATTAAAAATTAATATTCTTTTATACATATTTATAAAGTTTAACGGAAAAATCTATAAAAATATTACAAATCGTACTAATCGAGTTATTCAACAAATATACGATAAACTCATTTTCAACTCCAGTTTTCAAGAAAAACAAAGTTATTTACTTATAAGTTTTTTTTATTGAATAAAATAAGCTAATTCCCTCTGCTACACGCCAGCCACAGTATATATATATGAAGTTTACAATAAAACTGTTCATAGAATAGATAGATTTCAACCTGTTTATTTTTATTTCAGACTTATAACTTATTACACATACTTAAAACGTTTAAATAGCAAATCGATATATTTTGATTTTCAAATATCATAAGAATATATAACATTTTATAACAATATTTTAAAAATCGAGTTATTATTAAATTCGTTACTACATAATGCATTATAATAACCCATATAATAGATCAGTTCCTAAAAGCATTGTGAAATAATAATATAACAAAATTATATATCAGTATGTTTATTGTTAAAGTTTCTCAATGTTATTTAAAAATTGAATTAATAGTTAAATTTATGAAGAAAGCTATTGAATCACATTAAAAAATCATACGACTGTTAAGTTTATTGTATGAAAAAAATACTATAAATACATTTGTATAATAAAATAATATCAAAGATTTTTTTTTTCATTTTTCAATTTGATCTATTTGCATACAATAATTTACTAAAATATTTTTGAACAAAAATTAACGAAAAAAAAAATAAAAAATTATAAATAAATGCGTTCTTAATTTATTTTAAAGTAAAATATACATGAATTAGTAAATATAATGAAACATATTTTGTATATTAGTAGCAACTAACTTATAGAATCATTTTATATGAAATTTGACTGTTAATTAATAAAACTTTTCTGTGCTAATTAAAAGGTTTGCATTTTATTTACGAATTATTATCTCTGAAAATGAAATTCCACTTAATAGAGTTATTACATCGAATCCTACGTTAAACGAGGTATAATTTTAGTTAATAAATAAAAAATATGAATGTAAAATATCGAAATAAAAACTATAGATCAAGAAATTACTGTATTGTTTGAATATAATTGTTACATATAATTCTTGTTTCATAAACGTCTTCAAAACTGAGTATTTGCGCAAATATTTGATATCATTTAAAATGTACTGTTTGTTTATTATTTATTATCTTTGCGCAAACGATGGCTTTCTTAATAGAACGATAATAATAACGCGAAGTTGCGTTTGCCGAAGACAAATACACTTGTTTGACTGTGAGGATTTACGGAGGACGGCCGACGAGGGGAATATAAATTGATATTAACTTTCGCATATTCAGCGTAATATCGCGGCACGACGTTTTTGATTGATTGCGACCGTCACAATTAAACCGCTTTGCGGCCAATTCCTCCCACAGGATAACGAATTAGATGATCCTTCATCGTTGAGTTAGAAAGGATTCAACAGACCAACATTTAATATATTTAGTTTAGACTTTTATATAGTCAAAAGAATATAATTGTCTTCAAATTTCCTACAATATTTAATTATAGCTTCAAAAATTTCATTAGTTGAAACAATTATTTTTTACTGCCTTGAAGAAATGTCTTGTTTTTTTCAAACAAGAAAACAATCAGAAAAGGATTTAATTGAAATAATAAACATGAAATATTTTTAGTTAAAACTGAGTAGATTTAAACTACAAATGATGCAGTAATATATAGTGTAGGCTAATAAAAGTTTTTTTTTATTTCTAAATACTCAATATTCAAATAGAAGTGATAAAATTAATATTAATTTATTGTAATTTATTACAAGACTAAGCAGGATTTTTAGAAGTTAATATAATAAATAATATAGTTTTTAGAAATACAGATTTTGTTCTCAACACTTAATAAGATTTAGCTTTAAACAGTTTTGAAATATTATTATAAAAATACCATAAAATCATATATTTGCTATTTTATAACTTCTAAATTTGTTTTCTTGATTTTCAAAGCTTTGCATGATCTGTCACAAAGTTTTAGAATATTCTACAAACTTATGATTTGCATAAAATTTGTTTTGTTGTAACGTTTTTTCTATTTTTCTTCTATTATTTGTATCTGTATATTTCATTCATTCATCATCTTGAAATAATTGTCTTTTGCCTAAGTTGACAATCTCTCACATTCTTACACCATCTGTTCACTTCCTTTTTTCTTCTTCTATAGGTCCCTTGTTGTTGTAGGTATGTGCNNNNTTTTGTCGAGACTCGCGCCCCTTTTATAACCTAATGGTGCAATTTTTCTTCGTGCCCAAGTGCGTACGGCACTATTTAAATGAAAGACGTCTTTCGGGTCGCGAGGACGGATGTGTGTTTGCTCACGATGGATGGGAACTGCGCCCCTTTTCATAGCACCTTTTTGATTCACAAAATTTATTACACCTAGGAAATACCAATAATGCGTATGGAGCGACTTTTATTACACCACATTCTAAAGGTTACCTTCAAAGCAAACCTTATTTTCGATCATTAATACATAATAAATTTGAATCGAATGTGTTCCTGACGTGTGTGGATTTTTGTAGGGGGGAACGGATAAGAAATGATTAAATGGAAATCAAATGGGGTTATTTCTCATAGAGTGAATACATTTCAGTAGAATGTATTTACTCCATTAATGTCAATACACACAATACGTAACGTCGCGGAACTGTAACGTTATGTCAAAATAGTATACAATGCATTGCATTTTCTAACATGTCTCTTACCCTAAATATTTTAAATCACGTAATTTTCTATATGTAATATTTATTTATTTTTTTAAATATTTATCACTCTATATGGCACAAACGATTTTCTACGAATGTCATTCCATTCAAATACTAATCCGATTTTTAGAATTAATAATGTCACTTTCTAAATGTAGAATCTGATGATAATTATTGATAATTTATATAAACAATTCGATATATTTTGGTTTGCTTTGTTTGCTACTACTAATAAACTATTTTTGTCTTAAAATTATTTCTAACTAACTAATATTCAAAATATTACAAATTTTGAATCAAAACTAAGGAAAATATCAAAATTTATCTACTAAAATATTACAGTTTTTGATCCAAATCCCTTCAGATCATTTAGACAAAACTAATTTATATTTTTACACCGGAAATTACCTAATTGAAAGCAAGAAATTTTATTTCTTCTCATGAGTTTTGCCATCTTCTAATATTGGTTTATTTGCAGTGTAATTAATTTATCTATTCTCATATCAAAATATATTATGATTATAAAAATTCTGTAATTCTTATCCGATTCTGTAAAAGTACAGAATCGGTAAATGTAAGTATAAATCTGATAGCTGCGTCATATATATATATATATACTTTTACCGGTAAATGTTTACATCTACCTACTTTAGGTTAGGTCACCAGCAAACAATGTGTTAGGATCAAAATAAAATAATTCTGAGTTTGTGTGATTAGTTTTTTTGGCGTTCTGTAACTTATATATTTACCTATATGAACATTTACCGACGTCATTGGGTAAGTTTATAATCTTTTTACCGTACACATATAATAATATAATAGTGTTGTTGGAACGCATTATATAAGATCGCATACAATAATACCCCGATTAGTCCGGTAGTATTGTGGAACATTCCTATAGAACTTAACTTAAAGACCTTTTTATACTATTTAATTGTTGGAGTAGTTAACAGCATCAAGTCTATATCTTTTAGGAATATTTTAAGTTATAAATATAGAGTATGTGAACTTCATAAGATTAGATTTAGATAATATTGTAAATACTTCCAACTTTGAGTATAAGTACAGCATTTATTATATTACAGCGAATATTACTATAAAAATTCCTTGGTTAACTCTGCCTTTAATAACGAAGCTTCTATATAAAACAAGGCCGTAATTTGAAGACCTACATTTCTTTTAAAATATTAATTACAAAATAGTATTAAGTTTGCACTTAGTACATTTTGGTGCAATATTGATAATATTCTAAATATTTCTAATTTTTGTATAACTCAGCATTTATTATCTTTTGGCAGATATTATTATAGACTCATCTCGGTTAACGTTACCTCTGATAACAAAGCTTCGATACAGTTATTAAGTCCATAACTTTTAGCATCTTTTAACATACAAAATATTCCAATGTTAAATTTTACAATATTTATAAAATATTAATTACGAAAGTATATCAAAATTTATATAAATTCTTAATTGATTTGTTTTATTGGAAGTTGTAGAAATTTTAAGTAAATTTCAAATTCCATTTTAAAATAATTCAATTTTGCTTACTAATTGTAATAATATATTTCTTATATATTATTAATTGATTTTATGAACACGTAAAGTTATATAGTATTTCACACTTGATAACAATACATCAAATCTATCATACCTTATGTCAAATTCCCTTAGTTTGTAGCCCACTTTGTTCTCCTAGTTT